AATCAATAATGATGAAGTTGAATCGTCAAGCATTTTTAAGGATATATGATGTCTCTGTTAAATATGAGCACTACTATTTCTTTATCCTTGTGTTTCCAAAATTTGGTATTTGGTTATGGTAATTGGCAAAAGAAGCAATTATCACCTGCTCTACAGCTTGAGGATAAAATTAATTCGTTGATACAACTTCGTGATTTGGTAACAGTAGTAATTTTGTAAATGTTATAACATGAAAAGCAGTCTTTAGCAAATTTTTATTCCAATGTTTTTTCTGCTGACGATATAAATAGGCGAAAAGAATTTTAGCTCTATCAGATGAATATGCGTTACTTGATTCTGTAAAGTAAATGACTACAATTTTATTGCATGACATTAGACCACAACACCAGCAATGTTAGCATATTTAATAAAATAAAATATTTTACCCAATTAGGGTTTTTTTTTTGATTATTTGTCATAAGCAGCATAAATGGAACCTATATCACTAATTAGACAGCTTTTTGATGGTTCTTATTAAGCATGATATATTTCAATAAATTCTTAAATTCATCAAAGAGATTATCATATATTAATTGCTTTAGGGATATAAGCGATCCTATATTGGATCTACAACTCACATGCTACCATCATCAGTAGAGTTTGATAATAAACTTAGTAAAGTAATGTCTTTACATGACGTTGAAGAAGGACCAGTGTTAAATCCGGTAGACCAGTATGTCTACAATTATCTGGTTTGTTTACATAAATGATATTAATCTCATTTTAAATTAATCATTGTCTTTGCTTGAAATACGCATGCGTGGATGATTAACTACTACTTTAATTTTTTCTATTTTTGATTGCTATCTAACTTTATGTTTATGCAGCACATAGTAAAGGCAGGTAAAAAGAAATCACTGTCTCCTGCAGTTGATGTTGAACAACTTCTGCAACTTCCTCAAATGCTAGCCGATGTTGGCCGATGAAATATATTACTGCATATTCATGTAATCAAGTTTACTACAGTCATATTTGCATTCGGAGAAATAATTTGTGAATTTACGATTTGCTCTGTTGTAATTTGGCTATCGCGCTACTTTTGTATTCCGGTTAGAAGTAGCAATCAATAGTAATTTGTGCTGTTTCTACCATTACTTTAATAAATATTTTGAAAATGTTCTTACAATAAAAACATATACAGTGGAAAACTACAAGCCTCACCGTTTTTTAAAAAGGGCGTAGTTCGTGACGGATGGAGGAAGTTCAATCTACAATGACGCCCTCAACCATAGGGCTCAGCAGATAGATCTCGGTAAAGACTTTTGAAACCGACTCCACATACAGTGTGAGTGGTCGCACCTGCTGCTATCCACCCTATATGTAGGGCTAAGCCAAGACTCCCGTCGTTTTCTTTCTGGGGACGCCGGGTCCCCAAAGGAAATTATGGTCCCCTCCCTCTGGGAAAAAAACTGTTGCAAAAAGAGTTCGAAACCAAAAAGAAAATGCTGTGTTGGCGTACAGTCAGGATATTAGAAGTCCGAGAAGAAAATAGAGGATGAACAGAGAAAACCGCATCTGGGATCATAGTGAAAAGCAAAGGAAGAACAAAGGTTGTGAAGAGCTCCGTGAGAATGCCAGTTTGTCGGAACCGGGAACCAGCTGGATGATTACGCTTGAAGTTGTCATTCGCGGAATCGAAGTTCCGCAAAGCAGATCGGTAGACGAAGTACTGAAGGCGGTTCTTGATCATTTCGAGATATGACAAGGGGGTAAAAAAAGCCATCTAGGTGGAAGGCAAGCATAAAAAAAAAGATATGTCAGACTCTCAAAGAACGTATTTGGCCGGTGAAACACTTGAAGGCAAAAACCTGAAGGATTCCAAGAAGTGTATGCGAAGCGTGAATCTCATACTTGCTCTCAACCGTGACAGACGTTAGGCCCTAAACATGATGACAGAAAATGTGAGTCTTTACGAAAGTAAAATAAAAAGTTATTTTCTAAAATCGTTTATTTCAAGCGAAACAATGATGTTTAAAAAAAAGTGATGGCGAACAGATTTACATGATTTGATTTGAGTACTTACTCTGAATCAGAAATTAAGAAATTAACTTTATTAAATTTACTTAGTTCAGTTTTGTTATACGTTACAACTATAATTTTAGTCGGAAGAACTGCATATATATATTTTTAAAACAAATATTAAATATTCGTAAGGCCGAATCTTATCCAGTAAATAAATTTGTAATCATTGAAAAAAATGGACTATGTATTATAAGAAATTTATAATCTGACAAAAAAAATACTTCTCGACCAATAAAGTAAATCATAAAATCTGAACCACATCAATTGTTTGCTTAAACTTTAAGGACTTTTAATAATGAAATTCATAAATTCTCCATCAGATGTTATTTGCTCTTAATTTAAAATCTAATTGTATCTGTGCAATATGCAGTTATCTTTACTTGCGTAGCCTAGCCATATATAATTTTTGCAAGGACAATATAATTGTGAAGACTCGGAAAATGCTGAATACAAGCCAAGTGATTCCTGGCAGGTTTTTGAAAATTACAAAGCTTTTCGAGAAAATGATTAAAATATCCTTCACAACTTCTGATAAAATGAATATGGGCATGCATACCAATTTGACGTTGCTCATTCTTATACTTAGTTGTGACTATAAGAAGACTTTGTTAGTTTTATCGGTCAACAAGACTCCTTCTTCAAGTGTGAAATAGAGATTCGCTTCATTACCTATTATTATCAACTGCTATTGTTTCTACTTATTATCGTTGCTTGTTATCACTATAATTAATCAACATTATTCGTTGTTACGACCTATCATCTGCTATTGTTTACTGTTATTATTTATCATTATTTACTCTTCATATCACCAATTATTATCATTGCTACTATTCCAAATCTCGAACCTATACTTTTTAAATTCTGGTCTTGTACATCACAAATCATGAACCTACGTTTCTTCAATGCAAATATCAAAAAAGTGGGATCATTTCATATGAGTCGATGTACCTTAGATTTCGAGTCAATACAGTCTACACCTTATGTAAACCCATGCTATTACCACATTTCGGCCTCATTTTCATCATTATTTTGAATAAAATTGCTATAAGAAACATCATTTCAAAAATGTGAGAAGGGATAGTTACATAAATGAAGACTCGCACCAACTCATCTTCCAAATATTTTATGGAATTATTAAATATGAAAGCATTCACAAAAACACGTATAAAATTGATTTGAATGAACAAAATAAATGCAATTTAACAGACATTCCAAGACAGAAAATCAAAAAATACAGCTGAAAAAATATTCTTCACAAACCTCAAACAAGATGAAAACACAAACAATTAAACTAATAAAAAAAGAGACTTAATAATAATTCAAATTAATCAATAAAAAAATAAGTTTAGTGGTTTTGCAAATGATAAACAACAAAATATGTTTGTACTCTACATGCTTGGTTTTCTGTGAGAACAGTTACTTTTGAATTCACATTTTTGTTTTCGTATGATTATTCAGGCGTAAATTTATTGTTTACCCAACAGTTTAGGAGTGCCACGTTTTCAACATTCCATTACAAACGAAAGCCAGCTAAAAAATTATTTCATAGACTAATCAGTCAAATACGATTAAAAGCTGTCCGAGCTCACGTATCTTTTCTTTTAGACAAAACCGTCCACATGTCATTAAAAAATTACTATTTCTTTTCCAAATTTAATTTTCTACTATAATATTGTTATTTTGTTTTTCAAGTTTAATTTTTAAATAATTTACATTTCAACAACAGTCACATATTTTTGGCAAATAAAATCTACTCACCTGCAATGACTTGAACTAATCCGATTAATCCAAATTTTTTATCTATAATGAGTCAATTTAAATGAAATGAAACATGGAAATTACAAGTCAGAAAATACATGAGCTTCAACAAATATAACAGCATCAAAAGGCAAATAAAATTGCGAAGGAAAAGGCAAGATACTTAGAAAGAGGATATGTTAAGGACAATAATGATTAAACATAATAATCATAATAATAATAATAACAATAAATAAAATAATAATTGTACAATTACTTTATCACCGGTATGTGAACAATTTGCCTGATTCTTGCGAAAATTCAAAAATATCAATGCTGATGACTCATCTCAATGAATTAAGCCATTAATTTGCGACAAGTCTATACAAACGACAAGTAGATTCAGGTACAGGTGATACTTCGAAAACAAAACCAATTACCATTAGTGGCTCTTTTGTTTCACGATTTGTTACAACCTATAAGGAACAAAATACGAACTTTTTAATTCATTACATTATCGTTTACTCACTGTCATCACTGATACATTTTTGATTGGTTACATAAAGTTTAAACTTGACTATTAAATGACTCATAAATGAGACTACTTTTTCAACTTATAAACTATGGTTACCTGTAATACTGTAAAATTATACAAAACGCTGTTCATCAAATCATGACTTTGCAATTTTTTTAATTCTGCAACGAATTTGACCATATATTCACACATTGGGGATCCTTCTAGTCGAAAATTAAATTTCCTTCCATTTTCAACTGGGGAATAAATCTGGAAACTGACTTAAAAACATGTAATTATAAACAGCGCTGACCAACGCCATGGTTGTCAAAGTTGAGGATCAAGATAATTACTAGACAGTTGTTTCAATATTTTATTCTAAATAGTATAATCTAACAAAAAAAAGGTGAATTGAAGAGTTGCTTCAAACAATAGCAAATGCTATTAATTCTTGAATAACTCATATAAATGGAAATTAATTTGATGGAATAAACTAATCTGATAATTTGGAATGAAGCTCGAAGATAAATCAAAGCTTTTTTACCAAGTTCATATGAACTGAAAAATTGCTGTGAGTATGCAACAAATTTAGGTATATAAGCTCTATACAGTACAGATATATCAGAGATTACTGCTGATATCAAACTTCTATATATGATATACTAGTCACCAAAAGTCTGTCCGAAAAAAATTTCAAAGTGCGAAAAACTTAAATTAGGACCTCAACTTTCTCGATCACTTGCTTGCCAAATGAACAAACTTTGGTAGACACAGTGATATCAAACCGTTGAGTACTCTCGTAAAAGCTGTCAACAGCATAGAGAGCTGAATTATCATCTGGTAAGTTGAAGTCAATGTTTGCCCAACATTTCACCAAGAAAAAACCATCTCGAGGTCCTGCAGCGAACAGTTCGCCAAGAACTGGCGGATATTTTTCCGCGATATCCTCAAGCTTGAAAGTCTGCAAAAAATATTATGATAATTAAGTTGAGTATTATGAAAATTTCACAATGCTGATGAAAAGTTTCGGATTAAAATGAAAAATTGATTATATCATCAAGGTTGCGGCAATTTCTTACGTTTTATTCTAAGAAATGAAAAAAAATTCTCATCATTTATCAAGAAAGAGAAAAAGACAAGGAAATAAAGCAAATATTGATTCAGTTCTCCGTTTAATTATGAAAGAAGCAGATCTTGCAGTCTACTGATTTTAGTCTGTTCCAACTGATGTTTTGGACTGGAAAAGGTAAGAGAGAATAAATCCCGAATATACTCAGTTCTGAAGATAGTACAAATCGCAATCAAAATTTATCAAGTACTGCAGAAATCATCCGCTAGAAGTTATACAAAATATTCAAAATAGAAAACCAATTTTGAGTACTGATTTTTAATCATTTCTAGATATCAATCGCTCCTTTCTCTATGTAGATCTGCTTCACATGAGTTGAAATATTCACTCTAAATTTGAAAAGTTATTTTATAAACTTCAGACTAAAAAACATGTGCCTCAAGTGGTTCATCAGCAAGTTTTGGTATTCTGACCAAATCAACCCGTGATGTAATGTCGCTCGGAATTGGTTCAACATAAGCTATAAAACCGCATAGAGTAAGCATAGAAGAAGAAATAGCACGATCATCAACCGATGATACCAAAACAGGCGATAATTTTTCTATCGTAGTTTGACCATTTACTGACGAAACCTGACCACTGTTGAAACCATTTAATCTACAATGTTGAACTATTTCTTTGAAAACTTTAACCAATTAAAAATTTGAGGACAAGAATTAATGATTGGATAAATGAAAGTTAGTATGTAAACAAATAAAGATTATAGATTATTAAATAAAGAAATGGGTAAAAGTAGTGACTTAAGTAAGCAATTTGAGGAAGAGATAGTGAGCAAACAGCAATTTTTTCTTTAGTAATTAAAACTCGTCCCCAACTAAATCTGAATGAGAAGGTAAGAAACTTTCATAACCACAAAAATTTTAACGCTAAAATACCGAAGGCAACTTTTTGGAACTATTAAATTTCTGATGAAAGCCATGATAAAACCACAAAGCAAGATTGATTACTCGACGATTTGTTGATAAGCTTTCAGATTGTCTTGGCTGGGGAACGTAGGTGAGGCAGGAGTTGGGAAGCCAGCAGGCCATATTGTAGGATAAAGTGTTCTCGGTAACACAGTGCTCTGCTTGGCTATGTTCGTTAGCACTGAGGAACTGTTGGCCAAAGAAACCAGCATTGGCTTGTCTTTTTCAGGGGTTGAGTTCAAGCCAGTTGTATCAGTAGTCACTGATGGTGAAGATGCCTTCACTGTCTACAACACTCTCACTTTATCTACCTTAAAATCAAGTTCTTTCATATTCACCCTTCCGATTTACATTCATAGTGTGTAGAAAATCACTAACGAGTAGTAATACATTAAATTTTTTTTGCGTGTTCTTCAATCGACCTGAAATGGAAGGTATGTCACACTATTAATTTGCATTTCAGAACAATGCAATGCCTTACCTTTAGTTTAGCCTGGGTTTCTCGAGCCTTTTTTCGAGCCAAAACTTGAATATGAGATGAAACCTGCTTTCGTGTCCTCGTTTTTCCACATCTTATTTTGATATACCGAGCTATCAATTCATTACGACCTCAAAATTTTAAAGCAAATGTCACTGACGAAATCTATTTTTTCAAAACATTCAATAAATTCGTCAATCAAGTGAATTTACTGTTCATACTTGTAATGATTTTTTAATCAGCGAGGCTTGCAATTGTCAGAAGGATAGCTTCCAAAGCGTAAATATATGATAGAATTAGCAGCAATTTCGCCATATTTCAAGGTCATTAGGGTAGCACTTCAGTGATGCATTAATGCCTTTACTGAGAAAGTAAGGTAGTGAAGGTGATGCTCTCAACAAACAGTTTGGTTTCAAGGGCACAATATGGGAGTGCTATTTTTTCTGTGTCGCTCACTTTCTCCCATCGATAATATTATTATCAATGTGATGAAACAAGATTGGTTGACAGTACCTATCCATCTCTAGCCTGTTCACAGTATAAACTTCATCGCTTGCATGTCTTTGAATTGAACATTCCAGACTTACATGCTTATTACAAATTATGTTTAAACTGGCCTTACTCAAGTTGAAGACTAACTGATTAGTATTGGGTAAGTATTTACTACATAAATTGATCTCCGTTTGCAATTAATTTTACACATAATTTCAAAATATTGCTGAAAACTATCTATATCGACCATACTCTTACACAGCATTAATCAACATTTAAGTTTACTTCACTACTTTATTTTGATGAACAGTGAAAATTTTGTCTCCACTGTCTTGGCATTGAAACTGAAACTTAATATAAATATGAATAAAACGAGAATTAAAATTTTTGAATCGGATCTGTGAAATCAATTTTTATATGTCCAATATAAATTTTCTCAGATTTACTCCAGAATTTACCAATTTGTGAATTATGTACTAAAAACCATTTTTTCTAACGAAAACTAGTAATAAAAACAATGATAGTGATTAATGCCATCACTAGTAGTCATTAATAGACACTAGTAATCGTCAAAAACATGTAACTATCATTTTTTTAAATAAAACAGCAGTAATAATGATTATCACTCATTTATAATTACTGCTATTACCGACAAAGTTAATAATCTGCTAAATGACTAAACATGATAAATAATGATGATCATGAAAATTGCAATGTAGATAATCACATGAACAATAAAAATAGAATATACTTCAGTACTAAATAATTTCTTATCTCTCTCATCCGTCATAAACTGACTGACTCTCGAATTCCTGAAATACACTTCTGCCCCCTAGTTTAATGATCGTTAAGCAAAGCACTTGAAAATACTTGAAATATTTTTCATTTTCGGTCTACTAATGATTGGCTCACTACTGTTCATCTCATAACTTCTACAGAATGACTAAAATTGTATTTGATTGTTTTCACGGAAGTCATTTATCTCCTCTATTGTTTTTTCTTTTGACAGTGAATATGAGAATTGAAATAATCTCCATAATTGTGAACAAAAAATTGTTGCGCAAATCAAGAACTAAATTTACCGTTTCGAAAAATATTCGTGAATTTTTCGCATACTTTATCTACTTTATCTAACACGGAAAATTCTTAACATGCATATTCAATAAATTGGAGTCTTGATTATCAGCGATTAAAAAATTTATTTATTTGTATTTTTTGGATATCTTCGAAAAAACCGAAAAATTGCTTCGAAATCATAATCTTGTTTAACTTTTACAATAACTATCCGGGATAATCAAGTCTTTTTATGCCCAAATGCCTTAATAATTTTTATGTAAGCAAGAGCATGCATTTTGAAAAAAATCTCAGTTTCTTATCCCGTGATTCTTTTGTCCTATATCAAGCTTTCAAACGACTTTTTGACTGCTTCTGAGATAACACCAAATTTAATAGCAAATTTTTGATGATTTAGTAAGATTTTAATGCTCACCACATAGAAATCTTGTGATTTACAAGGATATCACCAGTATATAGAAATTTAAAAAGTATACACTTATAATTTCTTCCAAAAATCAATTCAAATAAATATAAAACATTTATTAAAATTTACTTATTCCTCATTCTCATTTATTTGATATATTACACGTTGAAGAGACCAACAGTGCACTAACGAAAAATAAAGTCACTGGAGCAGCTGGATGAAACCGATTATAGACATCTCAAAGCAAATGAGCTAATATTATTACAATTATAAATCCATTTAGTACTACTACTATTATTAATTGATATTATTTACTAGTTATTATTATTTATTAATAATTTCCGTTGGGTATTATTTATTACCTGTCATTTATTATGAATCATCAAAACTTGTTATTTATTTTTTGTTTTTACTCATTTACACCAATTATTTATTAATATTTAATACTTAATATTTATTATTCATAGTTCTTAATTCATTATACATTCTCCATTGTTATTAACTATTCATTATCAATATAAATAATATATTATGATTATTATTATAAACGATACCACTACTGCTACTGTTAATACTAGTAATTATAATCATTTTTAATACCTAGTTATTTATGACATTGGTACCGAGTAGCACGAGAATTCTCAAATAATATGTAGCAATTGGAAATGAAATGATTAAGCGCTGTATGCAATATTGTAGAATAGTGTGTCATCGTAAAGCAACTATTTACAACTGAAAAATTATTGATTTTATTATAATCTCTGAAAACTAGAAATAGCGTCCATATTTTTACTGCCATATCCATTCGATGCGTTCATCTATCTGTTTCTGTATATCCTTAACTGAATTTCCACTGATTCAAAAATTATTTCCGAGGATCAAAAGTATAGCAAAACAGAGGAAGAGAATTTGAGAGTAAGATTGATAAACTGTACAAATATCGACCCCCAAACCCCAAGTAAATAACCAATAAATGGGAAAGAAATATTTTGACATACACAGTACACTTTAACAGAGCATGCAAATTGAAGTCTGTACCAAAATACGAAAGCTAAATACAAAATGTAATTCAGGATTATAGAAACCATTTCCAAAATTGTTTTGAATAAATGTCCATAAGTTCAACTATGATTTTGACATATCTATGCGCAGTTAAGAACTTCTAAATTCGCTTCTACTCAATTAAGGTCAATAAATTGCAACTTGAAATTGTAGTAATATTTAACTTACCATACATTTTTCCTTCATCGCTAAGTATAATTTTTCTTCGGCCGCATGGTGGATAAATTTGTAAAGCTTCTTGAAATGCCTAAAGGTTAAATATAAAGTGAATCCTAATTACTAAGGATTAACTTTTATGACGTTTTTAAGTTGACTGATAGGATAAAAAACCGATAGATTACACAAATCACATCAAGAAATCAGCTTTTTAATCTGCGTTTTAAATGAACACCTGATCAATGTCAGGAGACCAAACACCCTCAGCATCAGCTGACAAATCGGTGGCTGATGAACTTGCTTGAGCAGGTTCTACAACATTGGCCTGATCACCTGCGGTGGGAGACAACTGAAATTCATTTTTCATCATTAATTTTCTCCTCAGCACCTTATTACTCATTAAAGTCATAAATTCCACATTCTAGCAGTAATTACTATTTATTTCAGCTGGTATTCATTTAAACTGAGCTCAGCTATTTAACGCCATACATAGAAGTTTAACTTGTCTAACTCTCGTCTCAACGTTAAATCATGATCACTTCTATTTTCTAAATTTGGTATTATCTTTACTCTTAATTAATGATGATAATTACTGCTATCAATGACCTAAACACATGAAATCATAATGAGGATTAACATTAATTATTGTTATTACAACTACAACAACAACTACTACTACTATTACTACTACTACTAATAGTAATAATAATAATGATAATAATAATAATAATAATTACTATTATTATTAGTAGTAGTATTTATATTACTACTAGTAATATAAATATTACTACCTACTGCTGTAGTAAATAGAACGGTAATTAATGGATGGGTAGACTGAATAAAATTAAGAAAAAATCAAATAAGACTTTAATAATTACTTGGTTGATGATTGATTGCCCATTAATCTGCCAAATATTTGGTTTTTGATCTAATGGCGAGCTTGCTGATCTGGAAAACAATTCATGAGTCTGTAATCAAAGTAAAAATATTTTATTACAAGATTCTATTTGTAGAAAATGTTTTAAACGTTGGGCTGGTTTTCGACTAAAATTTAAGGCTTTTGAATGTGGTTTTAATTGTAATTATGATGAAGGTATTTGCATCATAATAGTGATAACTATATTGGTTATCCTATACTAATGGATTTAAGAAGAAAAAATTACGTGAAATACACCTGTTAGAAGCAATATCATCGGCAGAAGATGCTGCTGATGAAAGTACATGTCTTTGAGCACTAAGCGCTTCTTCTTGATTCATCTAAACGATCACCAATTATTTGTGAACAATTTTATTTGCTGCTAACTTTATACTTCAACTTTCTGATCTAATTTTTGCCCTAAAAGTTAACAAAATTTGAAAGACGACGGCACTCACCCAAATACAGTTTTTGAAATTTACAAGATCTATGAACTTAAATTTTTAAAGGTTTCAATCTTCGAAATGACAAGCTATCTTGCCATTATATGTGGCCAAAACAAACTTTATTAGTAACTGTAGAAAAATTATGAATTGTCTATTCATTGAAATGAAATATACAGTCAACTAGCTGTTAAAATTTCCAAGAAAGTTGGTTAATAAAGCTTGCATTTATTTATATAACTACTAACTACATTCATTCTTAATTAAGAACTGATAAAAGTATATAATCAGAACGTAGCAACAGTTAAAAGTCGAAGATTATCGATAAACAGACAAAAATAAATTCTATTATGCAGTCATGTTTTCTAATTTTTTATTACTAATATGATCATGAAATCTCTAACTACACACATAAGATTAGATGAAATCAAATAAGGACATCCGAATGACCTTAAGAAGAATTGCTAATTCAACTGCTTACGATTTCATTACGATTTTCGACCACTATGAAATATGTTAATATGTACTACAAATGATTTACTATTTTTTAAGAATGGCAATCTTGAGTTCTAAATATTCATAACAATCAAAAAAACAAACAAAAAAAACCATTTCGAGAGAACAAGAAAAAAAGATAAAACCAGTTTGCACTCATGATTTGTTCAAGAGACAGGAGACATTTCTTACACTGTTTATATTTAGAAAAGTGATTATTTTAACAGAAACTACACTTCACTATGAGTAGAGTAATTTTTGCAATTAAAAGTTGTTAAGATTATTTTTTCACTTCATGTAAATCATTAACTATGCAGAGGTTGAAACAAAGAACTCAAACGCACTGAGATATCACTGATACTTTCCTGTTCATTCCGAGTTTAATATACTTTATTCAATCAATTATGAATTGATATTTAGAGCTTCTCAGTACTTACTAAATTCAGTACCCTTTCCTACTACCGTAAAATCAAATCTGTTTCTTTCTAACTCTTCCAAATTTTTATGACTCCTTAATCATCTAGCAGCATATAACCAACAAGAATTACTTCTCTATTATTGTCAACTACATAAATTAAAACACTGCATTAGTAAACATTTACTTTTCTTCATTATTGTTTTTTAAGTCATTACTACCCATTAAAATCATTTTTTTGAAGTCTGTTCTCCATATAATAATGATTATTACCCACTGAGTCTTATTAACTTCTTAAATACCATTAAGCCTCGTGATTTAAAAATTTTTTTCATTGTCTACAGATGTGCATCCATCCTATTTTAATTTTCATCACAAATTCTTCATTCGATTTTTAATCTAAAACATCTCAGCTACCGCTAGCAATCAATGGAAATTTTTTTATCTCATGTGCCTTATTGTTCCCATTATTGCGGTAATCATTTCTAAACCTTTGTCATTCTTCTCATAATGATGTTTAATTATCTCCCGCTCTATCAATTATAGTCATAACAGTTACTTCCTCTGATGTCTAAGAACAGTATTACTGTATTACTGTTCGTAGAGATGATCCTTTTTTTAAAATACTGAAGTTGACAATTCTTTTTTCACTGCAAAGAATAAATAGTGATGTTAACAAGAAGGATTAGCACTGGTGATAAAGTGTTTGTTCAATACATTTAGGACAAAGAATTCAAGAAGATAGTTGTCAGTGATTTTACATGAAGAAGGATGGTGGGTGATAATAGCCCATAATCAATTACACTACAAAATACGGGTAGTGAAATGAAAAAGATAATCTGTTTGGTGCAAAGGTCTTGACACTTTCGACATTCAATGATTTCTTTCTTCAATCAAATCTCTGCTTCTTTCCAATGATCAGTCTTCTATTAGCAGAGAACTTGTTATTACCACTATATCACCATTCTCAGAAAAAACCTATATTAGCAACAATTATTATCAAGTAATAAACAAGGGTTGCAAAAAAAAAGCTAAAAGATAAAAAATGCCGAAAGATGGAAATTTGCCTAATATTATTCCTCCACTAGGTGATTCATTTCAACCAACAATCAGACAATAATCATCTACTTCTTTTTCGTCTTGAAAAAAGCACTTTTTTAGTGGAAATAATTTCTCACTTTTCACATAAGCAAAAAACTTGTTTTGGAATCATTCTTAGAATCAATTTTGAATTAATGAGAACTTCCGAAACAGTGACAACAATGGTAATATTTCTGATCACAATCAAGGTATCACGGATGAAGAGGGAACTAGTGCAAATAGCTAACAGAAACGATATTAGTAAAAGTGCAAATAAAAAAATGATACGCATATTCGCATATCAATGTTGATATTCTTTCTCCCAAGATAAACTTTCAAAAGTTTTATTAAATTATTTGAGCCCATGTTTATCGCAATCGTACATTTTCGCAACACTAGAAGTCCTTAATTGTCTAGAATTTTTCAAGATTTCCCAAAGCAATCTTTCATGACAGATTTTCACACTATTGATTGTGCAAGGTTTTTTAGAGCTTTTAATATATTTCGAAAAATTGATCAAACTATTCAACTATTTCTTTTTCTTCACGTACATTATCTATTACCAATTAGAACCGCAATTTTTTCTTATCATGTGTGTTATGTAATTATTGGAAGCAACTTCACAACTAAATATTATTTTTTGGCAGCTTCATAAAACGAACTATGAGATGAAACCAAAATGTTATTATCAAAGCTAACTAAAACTATTAAATAAAGAATCATTACAAAATTATGACTATTATAAATTAGTTATGATGTGTTTTATTCTAAAAAAAAAAATTAGCTTTCTGGTTCTAAGTTCCATAGACAACCACATGATATTTATAATTTTTAAGTCCAGTTTCAAAAATTCATATATATCTTACCCCCAAGTGTTCAGCACATGCATGCATAGGGGTAACGATCAAAAAACTGCCGCTTGAAAAAGTAAGGGACCTTTACTTTCAAGCAATAATCTTTTCAGTAATTTATTCATTTCCTTATAGTAGAATCATTAACAATTTCAATCGACTCATGAAGTAAGAGGAGGAAAATGATATCATAATGCTACTACCACTACTATTACTTAGCACTTAATGCTCATCTTTCTTGAATTTTGGAATGCTTGAGCAAGCATCACCTAGATCTCAAACACAAATACTAGAAAATTTACTTGCTCAATAATTAAAAATCCTTTTTTGTAATGGTTTTGGCACCTAAAACCAACGGTACACTTCAGCATAAATGTCAGGTTTTGCCTCTATTTCAGTGATTACATGACCTAATCTAAGTAACATCATCACACATGTTCTTCAAATTTATTTAAAAATTGGTATTTTTTTCAACGAAAACTTGCTCAAATAAACTGAAGCATTACCAGTTCTTGTTCTATATATAAGTACATTGGTAAATTGTTAACTAAGATGAAAGTAGAATAATTCGTGTCTCAAAATGCAGAAATATCTTTCGATTTTCAACGAATGCTTTCTTGATTTTTTGATCCCATTTAAAGAACAAAAAATTTGTATTCATATTTCCCATTTTTTTGAGGAACATGAAGTACTTCACATTAATATTTTGCCAGGACTATAGATAAAAGTAAATTCTGAGCTAAAGTAGTTAATACCTTCATGCTACATTTTCATTTTCATGAATGTTAATCAGTACTTAACGATTATTGACACCTGAAAAATGCATGAAAACGTATAGTGTTGTGTTAACTGATACATTTAAAAAGTAGCTGTTCATTCTATGAACATTTTGTTTTGCACTGAAACTTTTAGTTGTTCGTGAACATCGCTACTTTATTCTTTGTTTATTCTTTTACATTTGTATCAGTACTAAAACAAACTTGAAACATTCTGTTCAATCACACTAATTAGCAGTTACTGAAAATATCGTGCACCAAAAAGTTCACTAATCATGAAGTGTAATCTTTCTTTTCTATATATAACTTGCTTATTCTTGATAATCCACAAAATCCATCTATTAAATATTTTTATGCATTCACCAATTTTTTTTCTAATATGTTCACATCTATATTTATTACTTGTATGATTCTTGTTTGTTAATCTTTATTGACAACTACAGTGTTGCCCTTCCCTTTCCAAATGTTACTTTCATTACAAAATCAATGTTTAATAATCTGCTTTACATACACATATGCTCTTATACCACTTAAGATGGATATGGAGAACAACTTCTAAAAATATCACCCGTACGAAAAAAATATGCTTTCATTTCCAATTGACTACGCTACAATAGAGTCAATCAGCATTGACTCATATCAGTTCGAGGACATGCACAGCTGAAATACTATGATATAGTGTGCATACATACACAAACGCAGATGTACGGTCAAACATATACGCACAGAAACCCATGATACATATCCATCATTTAAAGCATCCTTCATTATTGGTTCTGCATAGAATTTCAAAGTGTAAAAATCAATCCAAAACGTTGAGTTTGACAGGTGACGTGTACTGCACAAACCTCGCGGAGTACATATCACATCGAACCATATATCTAATGTGTGCTCATTCTCTGACCTACAATGAAAAGACAGACAAAAAGACAGAGCGTACGGACTTAACCAAGCGTTCTTTATGTCTCTATGCACAAGTCTGTGCATTTCATGTACACTCACATCTTGCTATTTCTGCAGGATACAATTAATTTGCTTACAAAACAGTGCTGTCTAGAAATAGATGATTTTCAGTGTATGAGTGGATAAATGTGGACTTAATTAAGTACATCGGTACAAGCTGCAGGAACAGACAAACATGAGGATAATGATATGTATGTATTCGTATCTTCAATATAAAGTGAGGAAGTTAAGAAGAGGAGGAGCTGAGAATTACTGGTTAGAGTTTTTGTGATGGTAAAAAAAATACAAGAACCTTGTTAAACTTTATATTCCAAGGATCCCTCATTTAATCAATTTCAGAAGGAAAGAGGAACGATTGAATTGAACGAAACGTAAACAGAACTCCACTTTTCTCTGCTGCTCCCTCTTAATACGGCAGTCTATATTGTTCTTTTCAATCTTTACTGCTTATACCTCTGAAACAGTTGAGAGTGTAGTCTGAAATCTCTCTCACTCCATCATAACGTGTGAAAGCAAAGATCAAAGAATCCTTGTTACTGTAAATTAACAAAACAATATTTTTAAAAAAAAAAGGAGACAAAGGGAGTGACAGGGAAAATGAATACAGAACGAATTCGAGTAAAGATTAAGACTAATGTTAAATAACAGCTGGAACTAAACATTTAAACTTCTTGGCACTGATAAAAACAGGTAAGCAAATTTCCTAAATTAGCTTTGATAAAGAATGTTATAGTAGTGATGATGAAAAGAGAGCAGTCGCACTTCCTCAAATATATCTCAGACATTCTTGAGACTGTTGACCTTGTGCCACCTGCGGTTTCAGAAACCATCTCGGCATGATCTGATCTCATCTTCATCCTTGCGACTTTTTGCTTTTTCCCACCACTCTGCTCTATTTTACACAGTTCAACTTCATTAGCATTTTGTGCCAGAAACTTTATTTTCAGTAGTACGAACATTTGTATGTTAGGTAGCATCATTTCTGTAGAGCTAAGTATTCTATGAACGTTGTACACATAAGCACACATATGGATTACTGCACATTCATATGTGTATTCAGGCTCATAAAGAATACAAGGAGCATTTGCCAAAAAAAAGCTTTTTAATGCTTGATGTGATATTTGTTACAATCGACGATGAAGCAACGGCAAACAGAGGTCATAGAAGGTCATGGAAAGACCGACAGGAGCAGATGGGAGAAATATACATCCTGAGCTTTGCATGTGCATTTTAAATGTCCATATGCATACATACATTAATTCATCCAATCACTTATTCTCTCTCTCACTAATCCGTTTCTCAGTCATCAACAATTATTCATCACTTTTCACTCTCATTTATATATATATATATATATATATA